AAAAAACTCTGCTTCATCTGGAAATGATTTTGAAATGGTGCGCCCATTTATTCTTACTGAGTTTCTGATTTTTATGTCCTCGAATCACTGGATTCCCAATCTCTGCCCAGAGTCGTGCTATTAGTGTTCTTACTTCGTTTTTTCTTAAAAAAACCAAGTCTAAACTGCTGTAAAAGTCCCTATCTTTTGAGACCTTAATTATGTTTAAGTCATGCTACTTATGTGTATTATTTGAGGAGGTATACATGAGCCTTTATATGTTTACATGCTTCCCCCAACATGCAGTATGTATTTTTTGTATGTCGCCTTAGATTTTATCCTTTGAAACCAATCAGCCTAATATCCCACCTTGTAGGACTAGTAGTCCTAAATGCCTCCGGGACTGATAGGATGGGACGGGTAATAGCATGCAATAGTGGTCGAGACCAATCCGCGCTTTAGTACCTTAATGGGGTGGGAAGGGTAGATATGGATATGATGACTGGTGCGATAATACCTCATGTAGCCCCTCTTTAGAGGAGTGATTACTGGGTATTGCATTGACGTGATCCATATTAATCATAAACCTAGGACCCCCTCCCTTTACTTGCTTTCGTTTATTTTTTTAGAATTGTTTAAATCTTTTTTTTTTCATAAAATTCCTGCCCTCTTTACCTTTACTCAAGTTTCGACTTACTTGCAATATTGTATGTGAACCCTTTCTATTTGAGCCCTTAATTGCCTACTTGATTATGTGAAGTCACAATATAACATGGCCGGGAACCACACTAGTGGATCTTGAGGGGTGCTTAACACCTTCCCCTCGAGATAATTTCTAGTCCTTACTCGAACTCTGGTGTTCCAACTCAAAACCCTTTAGTGTCCTAATGCACTTAATCATTAGGTGGCGACTCTTCAACTCCAAAAACCCAAATCCCAAAAGGGAATAGAGTTGTCCTCCCAAATGTCGTAAACCCGATTTCGCGAGAAAAAGGGGGCGTCGACACACGTGATCAACATGATTTGGGAGAGTGGATGTCCCACGAGGACCAATGATAAAACGCACTAAAGTTAATATCACGAGAGAAAAATACACCCGAGATTACATCCCGGAAGGGTCCATATCGTTCAACAACGAGGACGCCGAGGGCATCATCCAGCCTCACAACAAATTGAACCAGCAGTATAGGTATTGAAGGGGTTCAACATGGCGTGTGAGACGACGAATGGTGGAATAACCCTACTAGTAAACACTGTCGGGACCACCCAGGAAATAAAATTCTGTGTGATCGAGGGGATATGAAATACAATGCCTTGTTCGGGAGGCCATGGGTCCACAGCATGAGAGCGGTACATTCGACCATATATCAGTCATTGCAGTTTCCCACTCCATACAGTATCAAAATGGCCTACGGGGAACAACTGGCTGCAAAGGAGATGTTCACCGTCGAGGAAGTTACCCCGTTGCCCGCGGTCACAACATCAAAAAGTAGGGGACTGGTTGAAGAGAAAGAAACCAAATGGCAATCAGCAGTTTCGACCCTAACCTGGGCCGAAAAAACAGGATGAGCATGCAGCAAGCGAGGAAGACTATTACGGTGTACCGAGGTCCTTTATAGCACCCGATGATACTGACGCCACAAAATCAATGATCAATCGTTGAACAGAAAGAAACCAAATGGCAATCAGCAGTTCCGACCCTGATTGGGACGAAAAAACAGGATCAGCATGCAGCAAGCGAGGAAGACTATTACGATGTACCAAGGTCCTTTATAACACCCGATGATACTGACACCACAAAATCAATGATCAATGATCAAGGAATTGGACCAGGTCATAGTGATCGAGTACCTACGGATAGAAAGGTACACCTGGCACGAGGTCAACTCCCGAGCTTAGGAAAAAACTTATTAATTTCCTTAAAGCTAATGCCGATTGTTTTGCCTGGTCCCACTTAGATATGACAGGGATACCACCGGAGGTGACAACTCACAAACTAAGCTTGGATCCAAAATTCCACCCGGTTAAACAGAAGAGGAGGCCGCAGTCCGAGATCAAACACGTATTCATCAAAGACGAGGTATCTAAACTTCTAAAAATAGATTGAATTCGGGAAGTTAGATACCCGGATTTGCTAGCTAATGCAGTGGTCGTGCCTAAAAAGGGAAACAAACTTAGAATGTGTGCAAATTATAAGGACTTAAACAAGGCATGTCTGAAGGATTCGTTTCCTTTGCCTAACATCGACCGAATGATCGATGCGACTATCGGACACGATATACTGAGTTTTCTCGGAGCCTATTCCGGGAAAAACCAAATTCAGATGGACCCGAGTGACCAAGAAAAGACTTCTTTTAGAACTAAATTTAGTACCTATTGTTACAACATAATGCCGTTTGGGCTAAAACACGTTGGTGACACATATCAACAACTAGTTAACCGGATGTTCGAAGAACAAATAGGAAAATCTATGGAGGTTTACATTGACAATATATTAGTTAAGTCCCTGCAAGCAGCGGACCATTTGAAGCATTTGCATAAAACCTTTGACATACTGAGGAAATACAATATGAAGCTGAATCCGAAGAAGTGTGCCTTAGGGGTCGGGTCGGGCAAGTTCCTCGATTTAATGGTATCCAACCGAGGAATAGAGATCAAAACCCGAACAAGATAAAAGCCATACAGGATATCATCGTAGTTGAAACGTCAAGCAGTACAAAGACTAACCGGGCGGATAGCCGCATTGGGCCGATTTATTTTGAGGTCGTCCGACAAAAGCCACCGCTTCTTCTTATTACTGAAGAAGAAGAACAACTTCTCTTGGACCCCCGAATGCTAGCAGGCTTTAGAAGATTTCAAATGATACCTATCGAGCCCTCCTTTGCTACACACTCTGAAGGCGAACGAACAATTATACCTCTACTTAGTAGTTTTTGAGGTAGCGGTAAGTTGTTTCCTGATTCGGGAAGGAGAAGGTGCGCAATTTCCTATTTATTATGTTAGTAGAACCCTAGGTTTAATTGTCCATCACGCTTGGTTTGATCGTTTTGTTTCTCTTTATTTTAATTATTCATTGTTCATAGATCATTTATGTTAAATTAAATCATGTATCCTATAAATCTCGTACAAATTTAATTGTTATTTGTTTTAAGGGTAAACAATGATCACATAAGCGGATTCAATTTTTGAGGTTTATGGGTTTTTATAGCAACTTCAAGTTCATGGGTCTAGTTCATGTTTCTTTGGGTTGGGGGTTAACTTTGAAGTATGGAACAAGAAACATTTAAGTAGAGCTGTCAAAACGGGCCAGCCCACCCCAAGCCTTGTGGGCTTTAAAATTTGATGGGTTAGAACGGATCGGCCCGTCACATGAATGGGCCTTAAAATGGCCAGCCCAACCTAACCCTAAGAGGGCCGCGGGCTAGGGCGGGCCAGCCCTTCAATTTTTATTTAGAAAAATGAATTTCTTTAAATTCTTAAATATTTTTTCGTGGCATAGTCGATTAATCATGTAAACAACTTCTGTTTGCTTAGAGCGTACAAAAAGCTTGATATTTGACGAGGAATCTCGTAATTAAAATGCAAATTCTCTATATCTCTGGCTCTTCTTTTTTAAGGTTACATGAATATTTTTTTTCATGCTTTTCTTTCATTTTCCTCTGATTCAGGGATTGCTTCGATTAGTTTATATGCTGAGGTTTTTTAATTTAGGATTAACACATTTGTTGATTTCATCATTATAGTCCATAAAATTTTTAAAATTCCTAAAATTTGCTAGTGGTCAATTTTTTTTTGTATATTTAAAATTGATCTTTTTCTATATTGAGGAGCAGTTTAAATATTAATAATATATTAAAGTAGTCCAAACTAATCATTGGTCACTTAAAGTAATATTTTCTTTTGAAAAAAGGTTAGTATTGGCCACCTAAAACTTTTCGAGTTCGTTATTAATTAAACAAAAGTAAAACTAATTTTGTCATATTACATGTACGTCAAAAATCTAAATTCTAGTTGATATGGAAGGGTAAATGAAAAATCTAGGGTTGGGGAATGGGGATTATAGTTAATTGTTTTTTTAGTTTTTACTTTTTATAAATATTAAATATTTAATAGTTAAGTAATTTGAATTTAATTAATTTTCGGCCCACGGGCCAGCCTAGGCCCAGCCTCAAGGGCCAGCGGGCTGAGTTGGGCCGGACTTATAAGCATCAGCTTTAAATGGGCTAAAAAAAATCCTAGCCCAATCCTACCCAAGTAGCGGGCTGGATTGGGCCGGCCTCACGGGCCAAGCCCTTTTGACGGCTCTACATTTAAGTTTATCTTTATATAACTAACGTTATCCAAAACACAAGTTACAACCAATATGGCGGAATTGTTGAAAGGTTAAAATATTCCGAGAAGGACTAATTTTTCCTCATTTTAGAGGTAGTAATATAATGAAACTGAGGATACCTGAATCCAAACTGACTTACGATGGGGAGACGTAATCACGAATTCACGATCATATTAAGCTAATTAACACTTTACACAAATTATGAAAGGGTTAGTGATTTATTTATTGATATTTTGGGAATAACATATTTTAAAATTACTACTCATAATATTATTTCTCGCAAAAATAGAAGCATAAAGTTTTTATTAGCTGTTAGGTCAGCTTTGAAAGACACTGAATAGTTAAAAAAAGAAAAGAAAAAAGAAAAATTAAAGAGGCACCTCTTCAGGTTTCATTTGCAAAGCAACGGTAATAGTAGGAATGCCGGCAAAGCTAAACAAACAGAATCCTGAAACGACACTCCATTTTGATAAAGATTAGTTGCTAATTTCTCCAAACCCAACTTATAATCTTTGTTGATGTCGTTTGTTTTTCTAACGTCTCTATCCAAGTCAACTCCCTTTGAGAACATTAAAACTAATTCTCTCCATATAAGGTTGTTTACGTAAATTCATAAATCCATTCACCAGAAACCCGGTAAATATGCCGGCTTAGCATCTACATTGCCGCCACATTTCAAGTGTTTGTTTTTAGTCTCATCCATTTCGGTAACAAACCAAAAATCAAAAATCAAAAATCCAAAAGCCAAAACTTTTATCTCTTGACTCTATTGTGTTGTTTGCTTGTTACTATGAAGGAGAACGACTGTGAAAACATGGTTTTTGATCATTCTTTGACGCCAAAAAAGCCCAAGTCAAGAAAAATAAGTTCAAGATATCTCTCCACAACTTCAAATCGTTCCATTCTTGATACTGAAAATAATATAGTGCCAAAACCAAGATCATCCACTGATTGTAATAAGCTTAAAAGCCTTGAGAATTCAGGATTCATGACTAAACTTTGGCCATCTTCAAGTTCAACGGTCGATACGTTTGCAAATCATTTAGGAAATGAGAGGCTAAAAGACATTGAAGATCGAAAAAATTGCAAAAAACCCATGTTTCTTAGTAAGCAGAAGAGTTGCACCGAGTTTAGTAGATTTGAGAATGAAAAAGAAAAACGTCGATCATTCTTTGGTGGTAGGTACACGTACACTGGAAAACTCAAATTTCCAGGGAGATTTTCAACTTCTTCAAAGTTATTGGAAGATTATAGTGATCATATTGTCCCTGGAAGACTTTCTGGTGATGACAACTCCCTTCGACAAAGATCTAATTCTGCTCGAATTAGATCAGATATGCGACATGAATCTGATTCTGAGTACAGTAGTGAAATTGGTTCAAACAACAGCTTTGATTCTCCTGTTATTCGGAGAAACTTAGCACCATCTTATATGGCACCAACAATGAGTTCAAGAAAGGCTGGAATTGAAGTTCCTTCCAAGTATATGCAAGAATCATCATCAAAATCGTCGCCAAGATGGAGTGCAGATTCCAGTGTTCAGAAGCCAGTTTCATCGGACACTTGTCCAAAATTAGGACTCAAATTCAAGAATCCAATTCAAAGGGCTGCTTCACTTAACAGTAAAACTTCTAAGTGGACTCTGTCACCTGGAAGGCCAAACTCTCCTCCTGTGTTGATAGAAAACAAAGGGACATTTATGTCAAATATGAAGCCTCCGACGAGTCCTTCTAAGGGGAAAAAAGTTGGGAATTTTCTTAGCATGGGGCTTGAATTGTTCAAAGGTAAGAAATTTTCAGCATCTCCTCTTCGGCCAGGCATGACCGAGAGCGTTCATCAGCTAAGGATGCTTCATAATAGATTGTTACAGTGGAGATATGTAAATGCCAAAGCTGATAAAGTCAATCAAAATATAAGTAAACAGGCTGAGGTTTGTGTAGTCTTTTTCCTTAGTTTAAAATGTACGTTGTGATGAGTAACAAAATCAACTGATGGGATTATTTGGTTTTCTCAGGCAAACTTAGTATATGCTTGGGATGTTCTAATAAAATTGAGACAATCTGTGGTACAAAATAAGCTGCAGCTACAGAGGCAAAAGCTGGACATGAAATTGAGTTTTATTCTTCATGCTCAAGTAAGAACTAATTACCCTTAATTAATTTGGTAACATGACATGATTTACCAAAAAACAAAATCGTTACAATTGTGTTAAGGTAATGATTTTTTGGCCATGTATGAACCATTTTGCAGATTAAGTTACTAGAAGCATGGGATTCTATGGAAAGGCAACACTCTTCATCAGTGTCAAAATCCATAGACGGTTTACAATCTGCAGTTTGTACGGTACCTCTTATTGAAGGAGCAACGGTAAGTCGATGCAAATAACTCATTTTTATTCACTTGCTCTACCATGAAATCCGTGACACCCTATCCCAATCCCACACCGACAAAACACGGAAGAGATTTTGTGTATATAAGTAAATACACCTTAGACCCTAGTGACGCGTTTTAAAGCCGTACCAGTCTGGGTCCAAAGCGGATAATATCACTAGTGGACTGAGCGTTTTAAAGCCGTACGAGTCCCTAAGGGGGTGTATGTGACAAACACGTGAGAGCGGATAATATCACTAGTTGACTTGGCTATTACAAAAACAAAGCATTTAGCTGACAAGATTAATTCTGCAGGTGGAACCACAATCGGCTATTATTGCCCTTCAACATGCCTCAGATGTATCTTCATCAATCAAGTTAATACTATCCAATTTTTCATCAGGAGTAAGATTCTTAAATTTCTAATATTGTTGTTTATAACAGTATAGATGATTTAGTTGTAAAATAAAATTTTGTTCAGGCTGAGAAAACTGCTGAAATACTCAAGGAAATGGCAGAGGTAGCTGTACAAGAGAAGTTGCTGTTAGAAGAATTCTTGGAGCTTTTCAAAAATATTTCTGCACTTGAGGTTAATTTTTTTTCTTTGCTTTACAGATTATAATACAAGTTGGGCATTTTTTGCAATACTCAAAATTCCTTACCATATTCAGATGCTTTATTTGATAAGATGAGCATTTGAGTTTTCTTTGTAAATCTTGTTTTTTTGTATTGACAGAGTCAAGAAAGGAGTTTAAAATGCAGCATTATGCAATTAAGACTGCAACAAGAACAGTACTGCAAAAAAGAGAAGGATATGGTATCTGCTTAATCATTTGATCTCAGTAAGCAAATGCTCAAGGTTTTAACGCATTCTCCTTTCAGGAGGCAGGAGCAAAACGTAAATTATTTGTTGATTTTTTCATTGTATATTAGTGAAATACGCAGAATTTTAGCCCTTGGATGGCTCTTTCCCGGACCCTGTGTGAATGCGGAATGGTTCGTGCACCGGACTGTCCTTGTGTAATTGTAGCAAAATGACGTTATTTTGTGCCAAGATTTTTAAAACTCTTAGAAATTTGAATATGAAAACTGGATTACTAGGTATTCTAAGTAGTTCAATAATGCAAACAATAAAAGCATACACAATTCATGAAGGTCTACCTAATTTATTTAGGCTCTGTTCGGAAAGTCACCGGTACACAGCCTAGTAATTTTCACAATATATGTTTGGATTCGATAAATTGGAATAAGCAAAATCAGTTTTGGAATTTCTGATGCTTCATCATTTCTTAGCTTCTCGATACAAATTGTACAGTGTATATATATACATCAATAACCGCCTATCTTTCTATCTAACAAACTAAGTGAAAAAGCTAATTACATAAATACCCCTAGAACTTTCTAGATTACATATGTAAACATGAGGGCTAAAAGGTAATAACCTATCAAGGGTTAAGCTGAGTAATACCCTTTGTATTGGATGTATCGTCAGGCATCTCCTTCTTCACTTGGTCCGCCGAAACACTATCAACACCACCCCTCAAGTTGGAGGGGGAGGAAATAACCCCAACTTGCCCAAAATAACACGATGGTGAGGACCAGAAAGCGATTTAGTGAAAATATCGGCGAGTTGAGAATGAGTTGGAAGGAAAGAGAGGGAAATGAGACCAGCCTGAAATTGTTGCCGGACAAAATGGCAATCAAGTTCAACATGTTTCGTACGCTCGTGGAAGACAGGGTTTTTAGCAATATGGATCGCAGCCTGACTATCAGAAAGAAGAGGAACAGGGAGAGAAGGAGGAACGGAAAGATCATCCAGTAGACGAACCATCCAAGTGATCTCAGCAACAACACGCCTCATAGATCGATACTCGGCTTCAGCCGAGGAAAGGGAGATGGAAGGTTATTTCTTGGACTTCCAAGAAATAGGACTACCACCCAGACTGATAAAAAATCCATTGACGGACCGGCGAGAATCAGGGAAAGTGCCCCAATCGGAATCACAAAAGGCAAGAAGATCAAGAGAAGGAGAAGCATTGAGAAAAATGCCAAGACCAGGATCATTGAGCAAATAACGAAGACAATGCTTAGCAGGAGAAAAATGAGGCACACGAGGGTCCTGCATATACTGACTAAGATGCTGAACGGTGAAGGATAGGTCAGGACGAGTGTGAGTCAAAAAATTGAGTTCGCCCAACAAGCGGCGATATATGGTTGGGTTGGACAAGGGCTCCCCAACACCAGAAAACAATTTGCAGGAAGGGTCAAGAGGAGAGCTCACAGGAGAGAGAGCAAGACAATCAAATTCATCCAAGAGTTCAAGCAAGAACTTGCGTTGGCTCAGAATCAAGCCATGAGGCTCCCGGAGAACTTCCATCCCTAAGAAAAAAGATAAGTTCCCTAAATCCTTAATTTTGAATTCCTCATTTAGGAACTGTTTCAGATCTTGTAGTTCCTGGAAATTGTTCCCAGTAAGAAGAATGTCATCCACGTAAACAACAACCAAAGAAACAGAATCCCCTGTCTTCTTGTAGAATAGAGAGTAATCGTTGAGTGAGTGAGAAAAACCCTTGAAATTTAAAGCAGCAGTAAGACGAGCATACCATTGTCGAGATGCTTGTCGGAGGCCATAGAGATATTTCTTAAGACGGCAGACCATATTAGGAGAGGGGGGAGAAAGGCCAGCAGGAAATCTCATATAGACTTTCTCAAATAGATCCCCATGTAGAAATGCGTTATTGACATCTAACTGATATAAACCCCAGCCCCTCTTGACTGCAATAGCTAGAATACACCTTATGGTAGTCATTTTAACCACGGGAGAGAAAGTTTCAGTAAAATCTATACCTTCCCTTTGAGTATCACCACGAATAACCAATCTGGCCTTTAGTCTTTCCACAGACCCATCAGATTTGTGCTATACTTTGTATACCCACTTACAAGGGAGAGCTTTCTTCCCTGGAGGAAGAGGAACTACTTCCCAAGTCTCATTAGCTAACAAGGCATCAATTTCTTTAGTCGTGGCTTCTTGCCAACCAGGGTGCATAGCTGCCTGGGAAAAAGAAGTAGGTTCTTGAATGAGGGGAATGGAATTTAGCAGAAGTTGATTGGAAGGAGATGGGGCAGAAAGGAGTATTGATTAGGAGTAACAGGAGAAAGAAAACATGTAGTAGATACAACAGCTAAATGTACAGCACCACAAATGTAATCAGATAAGTATGATAGTGCTTTATGTTCCCTAAGAGATCTTCGAAGGGCAGTCTCCATAGGTGAGGCATGAGAAGGTTCAGGTATAGGAAAATATGGAGAGGTGGATGTGGAAGAGATAGGAGGTGAGTCAGGAGTTGGATCAGGAAAAAACCAGGGAAGGAAGTAGGGGAAGATTCAGAGGGAGCATGGAGAGGGGGACTAGGAGGTGAAGCAGGGATGTCGTGGGAGGATTCATTGTGGGAGAAATGAGTCAAGGGACATGTGGGAAACATAGGTGTGGCAGAACTAGATAAGTAGGCAAACGGATAAACAGACCTAGAGACAAATATGTGTCCAGTAGAAAGGTTCAAAAGTTTATATCCTTTCTTACCAAAGGGGTATCTAATAAAAGCACAAGCCACTGCCCTTGGATCCAATTTACCTCTATTTTGAGAAAGAGTGGAAGCATAACATAGGCAACCAAAACATCGGAGGAAAGAATAGTCTGGTGGTTTGTGAAAGATGATTTCAAAAGGTGTTTTATAATTCAATAGTCTTGTGGGATATCTGTTGATAAGAAATGTAGCTGTGAGTAAGCATTCCCCCCAATAACTGGTGGGCAAGTGAGATTGGAATAGGAGAGCTCTACATACTTCTAATAAATGTCTATGTTTGTGCTCAACTATCCCATTTTGTTGGGGTGTTGCTACACAACTTGTTTGATGAATAATACCTTTGGAAAGGAAATAGGCTGTTGCACAAATGCTAGAGCCAAGCTCTAATGCATTGTCAGATCTAACTTTCTTTATCTTTGTGTTAAATTGTGTTTCTACCATTGAGATAAAAGATTTGAGAATGGTGAAGGCACTGCCTTTTGTGCTCAAAAGATAGGTCCATGTACCCCTACTAAAATCATCCACAATTGTAAGAAAGTATTTGAATCTATCATGAGTGGCTGTTTTATATGGACCCCAAGTGTCAATATGAATAAGCTCAAAAATATTAGTGGTGGAAATATGACTGTTAGGAAAAGGCAGCCTATGTTGCCTAGCTAAAGGGCAAATTGCACAAGGGTTTATAGCTTTATTGGATTGAAAATGTGGTAGGCTAACAATGTTTTTCATACTAGCAATTGGCATATGTCCTAGTCTAATGTGCCATATATCTTGACAAGAGACAACAGATTTAGAAACAGAATGAACAGGAGAATCAGTAGATGAGAGAAAAGCATTATTTGTAGAAGTAAGAAGTCCAGAAGGGTAGTGTGTAGATCTCAGCATGTAGAGTCCATTGCTGAGTTTACCAAGGTCCAAAGGCCTCTTCAGGGGAAGGCCCTGCATAGAGCAGAGAAAGGCACCAAAGATTAGTTCACAACCAAATTGATAACAGAATTTGTGAATAGAAAGTGGGTTGAACTTAAAGGAGGGCACATATAATACTCTGTCTAGAATCATGTCTGGAAACAAAGACACTTTTCCAGCATGTGTCACTTTGATTTTGAAAGAGTTTGGCAAGTTAACTATTAAAGGTTGGGCCAGGGTAATGATGTCAAACAAGATAGATTTGTCAAAGGTCATGTGTTCAGAGGCACCTGAGTCTATGATCCAAGAGTATATAAAGGATTTATTAGGTAGTAAAAAAGGCATCATAGAAGCTATACCAGCACAGTTAGCAGTCACATTAACCTCAGAACTTGATGCAACCTGCTGTCCAATTTTGACTTGTTGTAGTATTTCCATAAGTTGAGAATATTGTTCCTGATTTATTCCCATGATACCTGATGAATTGTGTTGTTGACTTCCCTGACTATATTGCTGAACATCTCCAAAACCTTCTTCTGTAGATACTGCATTCCCTTGTATCATATTTGAGTTTTGGAATTTTCTTGTTCTATTCCCTTGCATATTCCCTTGTATATTTGTCTTAAAACTGTTTGGAGAACCATGAATTTTGAAACACCTTTCAATTGTGTGTCCAGCTCTTTGACAATAGGAGCAGAACATACTTCTTCTGTCAGCTCCCTTTACTGCATTATTTCTATTTCCTCCCCCAGTATTTGAGTTGAAATGTAGTCTATTCTGTCCTGAATGCTGTCCAAATTTCTGTGTTGATGCACTAAATGAACTTGAATCCATAGGGGAGTTCATTGTAGGTTGAATAGACCTTTGTCTTTCTTCTTGAAGAAACAAAGAGTATGCCTTATCAATACTTGGTGTAGGGGTCATCATCATTATATTTCCTATGCAAGCAGTGTATGTTTCATTCAGTCCCATAAGGAATTGAACTAATTTCTGTCTCTCCTCAATTGCCTTATTCTTATGTTTTGCTTCACATATGCATTCAACACAAGTACATGGAACTTTTGCATCCAATGCATTCAATTAATCCCAGACTGCCTTTATATTATTGAAATATGTTGCTATATCATTAGATCCTTGTACAGTTTCTAATAATTTCTTTTGTAGGCCAAACAATTGAGCTACATCAGATTGCCCATACCTATCTTCAAGTTGTTTCCAAAGATCCCTTGCAGAATTGGAATGAAGAACACTTGACCTAATTCCTCTTGTCAAAGAATTCAATAACCAAGCCATCACCATATCATTGCATCGAGTCCAAAGCTCAAAGTATGGAGAATCATCTCTAGGTTTGAGAAGTCTGACATTAATCAGTCCTAATTTGTTTTTGGCTGATAGGGAAATCAACATCGATTTACGCCAATCTGCATACCCAGTTCCGTCAAATAGCGTGGATACCAAATTTGTCCCAGGGTTATCCAAGGGACTCAAATAGAGAGAATGTGAACTATCAACAACAATTTTATTTGCAGCAAAAGGATTTTCCTCCGCCATTGTTATCAAAACTCGAATCAGAAGGACAACAGCAATGGATGAAAAAATGAATTGTACTAGGCGAAAATAGAATTGAAAGTCAATCAAAAACTGATTTCTACTAAATTGTTAACATATTTCAGAAAAAGATTTGCAGAACAGCACAGAAGATTTAGAAGATCGATCACCTGTACCTCGGATACCATGTTTGGATTCGATAAATTGGAATAAGCAAAATCAGTTTTGGAATTTCTGATGCTTCATCATTTCTTAGCTTCTCAATACAAACTGTACAGTGTATATATATACATGAATAACCGCCTATCTTTCTATCTAACAAACTAAGTGAAAAAGCTAATTATATAAACACCCCTAGAACTTTCTAGATTACATATGTAAACATGAGGGCTAAAAGGTAATAACCTATCAAGGGTTAAGCTAAGTAATACCCTTTGTATTGGATGTATCGTCAGGCATCTCCTTCTTCACTTGGTCCGCCGAAACACTGTCAACAATATAGTAATTGTGATGACTTATTTCTTTGTCATTACGTAATTACAGTGCAATTACAAGTGTACTGTTTGGTTGCATAAGTATAATTACATAATTAGATTAAATTATAAATGAAGTAATTATTAAAACTTAAAAGTTAATATAATAAATATATGCCTATAAATATTTTTTTATAAGTATAAATGATACTTAGATTTGGAATTTAAGATAAATATTTTTTCTTGAATATACATTAATTAGCAATCATATATTTAAAACTAATATTGTAAAAATAATTGATACTATATATTTTCTAAATTAATAATATGTAGTTTAACTAATCGTAAAAACTAAAAACATACGTTTTGTAAGAATATCATCGAATGCACGTTTGAGAAAATAAATTAATATTTATAAATATAATATCATAACATTATTCAAATATTTGACAAAACTAATCTATCAATTCTAACTAAAAAAATGAATAACATGTAATGAAAATAACAAGTCAATACTACTAAAATAAGTAAACTGGAACCATAAATATAACATAATTTTAAAATAATAAAAAAATATTTTAACATATGTCAAATTCCAACATAATAAACATAAGTTCCAATACGACTTAAGATTAGAAAACATAATAAGTTTACAACCCATTTAACAACAAAATTCTACTTTAATAACATCACTCATTATATGCCAAGTTTGTTAATGACTCATTATTTCTAATATTAGGTGTAGCTTCAAAAACTAGAATAATAACGTATAGTTACGCTAAATAAAAAAAATAAAAAAATAAAATATACGAGCATTTAAATGGAATCACAAGTACTAAAGGTAGAGAAATAAAAGATAAATAATGTACAAAAAATATTTTAAAATTAAAAAGTAAAAATAAACATAAAAAGAAATTAAAATAATAGAAATAATAAAAAGATACAAAAAAATAAAAAAATAAATAAAAAGGAAAGAAATAAAAAAGTAACCTTGTAATTACACAGTATAATTACCTCTCCAATTACACCCAATTCCATGCTTACCGAGTAATTACTTGGCCATACAAACACACCAAATTGTATAATTACACCGAAATCCAATTCCTAGATGGCTTTCCAAACATACTCTTAACAAATTCAACAATTTATTGAGCTTTAACAAATTTTCTTTAAAATCATTCGTTATAATATTTACATACCTTCTTTTATTGAAATTCTTAAAATTTATTTTATGTTTTCTTCTTTGACAAACAAACACTTTATAATAAGACAAATAAACAAACAATCAATAAAAATGATGAACTCACCTCATAAAAAGAAGCAGCTCAACCTAATAACCTATTAGGTGCTATCAGAAGAACATATCAATACTCAACAGATACACAAATTTACACAGAAGAAAGTAATTTCATTACAAACATACAAAGTTTCAACTTACAAAAACTTTGGTGATATCTTCTCATCTGTTCAAACTGTAGTGGATAGAATTATTTAGTACATGTTGATGGCGGAAGGTGACAGGTATATCCTGAAATTAATTTAGGTGCGCACAAGCTGGCCCAAATACTATAGTTATCTAAAAACACTTAAAAAGCAAATATAATAAAAGTAATTAATAAAATAAACAACAAAAAAAGTTCAATTTAAGACATAATATGATAATTCTTTTCCCCAATGAAGTTGGTTCATTTGAATCCACATAAGGCGTGTATGTAATTGATGAATGATGTGCATGTAATTAGTAAAAATTGCACGGGGCGCCTTATTTGGTCGCCCCCATTTAACCTATACCCATTGTTTTTTAAACTTTTAACTTGTACCCACTTGTTAAAAAACTTTAGCTCCCTTTCTCCTCCTTCATTTTCTTTTTTCTTCTTCTACAATCTAATTCCATCGAATCCATACCTGTAACGGTTTTTACTTCTTAAACTCATCAAAGCCTCTGTTATTTTATGACCACTTGAATTTACGTGTTGTTTCAACTGCACATCTATTTAAATTATCAATGGATTAACTTAAGCATGGAAATACAGTATATTTACATACAATAAATATATTAATATAAAGAGTACGTAGCTTATTTTTTCGAAATGTGAACTGAGGAGGAACTTTACAGTGTTTGCGTACTAGACTAGATATTGCAGGGCATACGTAAAGGTGAGGGAAAAAGAGAAAAACCAAAAAAGGAAGGCAAATCCCTATGTGCAAAAAACTTTAGCTCTAGAGCTGAAGTTTTTATTTTATAACTGGTAAACTTCACTGAAGTTTTTATTTTATAACTGGCAAACTTCAGCTCTAGAGCTGAAGTTTCCCGGTTACTATACAAAAACTTATAAAATAAAATTTCAGCTCTAGAGCTGAAGTTCGCGAGTTACAAAACAAAAACTTCAGCACTATCTGAACTTCAGGCCCGGCTACTAAAATGCTGAAGTTTTGTGTGATTGCCTTTGCTACTTCAGCCCCATGTGCTGAAGTTATGTGAAAAAGCGGGTACGCTTGCAATTTTTTTTGCAAAGCGGGCACAGGTTAAAATGTAGCACAAAAAGCGGGTATAGATGCAAATGCCCCATGTAATTATTGTTAGAAACATAATTTGTTGTTTGCTATATTTCTATTTAAAAGATGCGTAAAATGTGAAAAAGTCGATTATATATTTTTGTGAAAACCAAATTATTCAATAAAGAAAATGCGAATATAAATTGATTTAGCTGAGGTTTTCTTTCCTAAATTGGTTATGTTACGGACTTCGTTAAATCTCGTCATACTTTTATTCTTTTCAGGACCTAGTCATTTCCAGAACTGGTTACGTACAGACTTTAATCTCATCATATTTTACTTTCTTTTAATGACCTAGTTATTTCATTTTATCCAGTAATAAAAAAATGAAAAAATGAAAAAAAAAAAAATCCGACCTGCCGGATTCGAACCAGCGACCTAAGGATTTGCTGTTAGGTTTTGCCCACTACAGTCCTCCGCTCTACCAACTGAGCTAAGGTCGGATACTGATAGCTTCATGCAACATTAACATATTACATTAAAAGATAAATGCAACATCCTCTTATGCACTTATTGCTATTTTTTCCCCAGCACCTCAGATAAGCTTACCGTTAATAAATGGAATTTATCCTTCGGTCGTAAAGTGCTCGTTCACTTTTTCAATTCTTTTGAAAAAAATAATACTAATAAATTTCTTAATACCTTTCGTAAGTTACCTGACTTAAATCCAAGGGCGGCCATACCCTAAAGCAGGTAAAACAACGGCTTTAGGCCCCATATTTGTGGATGCCTTATTTTTTGTTACGCCTAATAGGCAATATACAAGTTAAAAGAAAAGTTATGTGAAGTGAAAATATTTAATTTCTTTCTTTAACAAATATAGAGAAGAAAGGTTTGCAATTGCTATGATTTTTGTTAAGGAAATTGCATTTGAATGAATATCGAATCTGAAATTTCTAAGAAACACGTGATACATATGAAGAAATAATTTGATGAGAATGTTGATAATGAATTCTCAAAATCTCTCGAAGAGTTTTTAGAGTTAATTACTTTTTATACATAATAGACAATGCTACTTTTTCACTTCAAAATAGATTTGAATAATTCGAGACATATGAAAATAATTTTGGTTTTTTATTTAGAGTAAAAATTGGACATATGAAAAATTAAGGCCCCTCATAAAGTTTGGCTTTAGGCCACAAAATTCGTCGGACCGCCCCTGCTTAAATCTACTAGGCGAATAAATTACATTTTCTTGAGCATATTTTCTATATTAACAAATTATTTGGTTGTCTCCTTCCAGATGTATATAATACTGTATTTATTCACTTTCATCAAATATTTATAATTTTCAATAGTCGCCCTTAGAGAATGATATTGTGTTCCTCCTCTTTGATAAGCTTGACAACAAGTAGGCAGTTAGTCTCCACTTTTAATTTTTGTATTCTCTTCATTTTGCTAATTGAGACCTTATTCGATGTTACATAGTTTTGTAAAGAGGATTGATGTAGACTTTTTCATTTACTTTCCTTGGTCTTCCTTAACGATCCCTCCAAAAGTAACATCTTTAGTTTGAGTCTTCACATTGCCAACAGTAATAAGTTTTATTTATTTTTCTTGCATAAGTAATTGATCTGAAATTTTAGCTTGGCTTGTTTCAGATATAAAAATTTGTGAAGGAAATATTTCATCAATTATCCCAATGAAAGTCTGTTATAGCTGCATAGTCCTCTCCTTTCATCTGGATTACTATACTCGAGATTTTTAACCCAATATATCCATACCAAAACTAACTTAAATGACAGAATGTAGGTAGTTAAAATATAGTTGATCCAAATCCATAGATTAATAAAACTAAGAACTGCAATAAAAATATATTTAAAAAAGAAAAAGATAGAATATTCTCGATATTGCACTATATTATATATAAAAAGGGAGACAAAATAGACAACAATACCTGTTGCTGATGTTGAGCAAGTAACGTCTTTATGCCCTTGGTAGTTAGTAATTCATAATTAAAGAATCAACGTAACC